CTCTGGACTTCCCAGTTATGTGAGCCAATATATTTCCTTTTAAATTTAAACTACTTTGAGTTCATGTTATGTCACATGTAGCAGAAAGATTCCTATATAATATCATGGCGCAAATATTTTTTCTTATATAAGCATATAAAGACACTAGGAAGCCTTTGTTTTGTTACCTCGGATTTTGTAGAATCTTTATGTTCAGGAAAACTAAGAAGTAGCTCTACTTCTCATTTCTTAAGTTTATTGGTTAAATCTTACCCAAAGCTCGTTTGTTTTTTTTTTTGGGGGGGGGGGCATTACAAAGATTTGTAATTTTTAAATCTTATATTATTTTTAAATGTAGCACACAGAAAAAGACATAAAAGTTAAGATTTTACTTCATAGAACAAATGATTAAGAAGTATAAACAGGTTAAGAGCTAGAATATTATTTACTCCTGAAGATCCCTATGTGTCCCTTCCCAGTCATGATTCCAACTTTCTCCAGGAAGGTCAAGATCCTGACTTTAACTGTATTGACTTCATTGGTATTATCTGTATTTTCCATCTATATAGCATCCTAAAAAAAAACAGAGTTTACTTTTGTCGTTATTGAATTATACTAAATGGAATCATACCAAATGATACCAGTAATTTGCTTTCTTACTAAACTTGATGCTTGTATGAGTCATTCACAACAGCCCATGTAGTATAGTAACTTCCCAGGTGGTGCTAGTGGTAAAGAATCTGTCTGCCAATGCAGGAGATGTAAGAGATGCGGGTTCGATCCCTGGGTCAGAAGATCCCCTGGAGGAGGGCATAGCAACCCACTCCCGTATTCTTGCCTGGAGAATCCCATGGGAAGAGAAGCCTGGTGGGCTACGGTCCACGGGGTCACAAAGAGTAAGCCATGACTGAAGTAACTTAGCATGCATGCAAGCATGTAGTGCAAAACATTTCTTTCATTGCTGTATAGTGTCCCATAATATGAATAAACCACAATTTATCCATTTTGATGTCTAATTACAATTGTAAAATTAGACATTATAATAATGGGCATTTGAGTTGTGTGATCATTATAAACACTGATCCTATAGTATAAACTGTAATTATGATCCTATTTTAATACATGATTCTAGTGTAAAAGTAGTGAAAGTGTTAATTACTCAGTCATGTTCTATTCTTTGCAACCTCATAGACTGTGGCCCGCCAGGCTCCTCTGTCCATGGAATTCTCCAGGCAAGAATACTTGAGTGGGTAGCCATTTTCTTCTCCAGGGGATCTACCCGACCCAGGGGTCAAACCCAGGTCTCCCACAATGCAGGCAGATTCTTTGCCATCTGAGCCACCAGTATACAGGTTCTTAAATTTGACTAAAGTATATACTGAGAGTGGAACTAACTGGTATGCATATCTTTATCAGATAAAGCAAAACTGGTTTCCAAAGGAGTTGTGCCTAGTTACAGTTTTTGAAAAAATGCAATACTTTTAAACATTCTGGCTTTTCCAAAAATAATCTTTTTTGCAGCTGGAAAGCTTCCATACATGCTGATATTATGTATATATATACACACACACACAGTGATTTAACCTTAAAAAGGAGCACAATCTTCTGAAAGTCTAAAAAAGTATGTTTGATTAAAAAAAACTTTAAAGCTGACAATAAACATATGAGAGAAATATACTGGAGTTAAAAATTATCCAAAATACTTTACATAGTATTTAGAATAAATGAATGTTCAAAAGATATTATTTATTATACTAATAATATAATGATATTAGCAATAATTATTGCATATTTGACTTTAAAGGCAAACACTATGATTACAAGCAATCTGTGGTGTAACAGCTTTTTTGAACTATAAATGATAAATTTCTTATAATTCCATCAATGGATGTAACAGCATCTATGTGATAAACATTTAATTCTTCCAGTGCTTTACTACAAGTTACAAAGAACATTATCAAAGCATCTGAAAATTTCCAAGCACCAGGAAAAGATATTTATTTCTTAAAACTATTCAGACATGGAAAAACTTTAAAATTCTAAATTTTGGTTCTTAAACCTACTTTCATTTTTGGTCTTTCTTTCCTCTTAGGCAGTGAACGTGAAATATAAATGACCATGGTTGAGGAAGACAGCATCCCAGAAAGAAGCTGCTTCTGACAATGATTAATGTGGAGCTGCCAAAGGATATGTGGCAGCAAAAAGAAGCCACTGCTTATGTAACTGATGAAAAATTAGTCAGTAAGGCCCTAATAACGTATCTCCCTGGAATCCGAGATAGTGTATTTGATGAATTGTTTAAGCTAGACTCTATTCTTTTACCTATTTATACCATGGGGACAACATGAAATACAGGAAAGAAAAAATTATAGTTAGCTTCTCTTATTCAAATTGGTTAATGGATATATTGGTCTTCCAATGAAATATGCTGATTAATAGAATTATCACATGTATTTTCAATAAAATTACAATCTAATCTGTTTTTCACTAACATTGATTATCAGTTTATCTTTCCTCCAGGATTCTGAAGGCATTTCTATATCTCCAGTTATTTTTATAAGCCATGACAACAACTGCGTAGTTCTATTAATGTAGAAAGTGTAGAAACTAGACTACATTTCTATTCATCTTGTGACACACTTTGGAGACAATTTTGTTGAGTATGTTTACAGTAGCTGACTTTCCACGACCTTTATAATAGAAGAGCAGATAATGTAAAAAAAAAATCTGGGTTATTTGAGTTTCTTAGCTATTTGAATCACTCTCTTTTTTTCAGGGAGAAAATGTGTCCAACTAAACATGAACTTACAGTTAACTAAACTTCTGTTAAGTCTCAGAACAGATTTCCTAAAGTGATATTCTTCTCATTGAGGTTTAATAGATATGTGTTTCACAGGTCTAATAGATATGTGTTTCACAGGCCTAAAATGCTAAACTATGACATATTCAAAGACTACTTTGTAGAAGACGAAGCTTCACTATCTGTGGCCTGAACATAAGCTTCTCATCAGAGCGATCATGAAAGCTCCTTTTAGAAAAATGATGGTTTTGAACCTTGATGAAAACAACTATCACTGCTTCCAGCCTCCAGCCCCTTGTGTAGGGACATGACTATTCTAGATCTACTAGGGGGCGTTAGTAATAGAACTAAGGGCCCAAGAATTTATGACTATAAAGTACTTGATTATCACAGGAAATCTCAAGAAGGTGGTCTGTGGAGATGACAATAAAAGGACAGTAAGAGAACATCAAAACACCATAAATAGATGATAATGCCACAGAGAAAGAAATTGAAATCAAAGCTAGAGTGAATAATCACAATAGAACAACAGTATATTATTTTTTTTTTTCATTTAAGTCAAATGATCAGAATTAGGACCATGAATCTACTATAATTGTTCTTCATTTTCAGAATGCAAACCGTAAAAAAAAAAGGTTTCTGTTTTAAACTTGGTCCTCTTTGCTGCATCTGACATTATACAATGCTGCTTCTCTGTTGAAAATCAAGAAACTCTTCAGAGATCCCTCTTCCTCATCAGCTCTTTAAATAATTGGCATTCCTGGGTTCTATTCTGTTTTTCTTCTACTTATTTTTCTGAAATGATCTGATCGACTCTCATCATTTCAACTTCGATTTCTCCCCAGAGTCAGTCTCCAGTATACAGCTGGCTGATGGACAACTACTCAGATGGCCCTCAAATACCCTCCCTTTCCAAAATTTTAAAACTAAATTCATCATCAACTCCTAACCTTTTTGCTTCTATTCAATCTCAATGGATGTGTTTTCTACCTCAGCTCAAAATACCGAAATTTACCCGGTCGCTTAAGCAACGAAAACAAGACAGGCTACCTTTGACCCTTCCTCTGTCATTCCATCCATGAAACCTACCAATCTTGCCTGCAGAAAAATGATTCTTTCTTTTTCTCTAAGTCTCAACAGCGCTCATTTAGATTGCTATCTCCTAACTGGTATCTCTGCTATTGCATGCTTCTTTTCAGTTTCATCCTCTACGTGGATATAAGAATTTATCTGAAATGAAAATCAGATTGTCATTCCCTTGCTTCAAACTGATTGTGGCTCCTCATTAGGTACAGAATAAAGCCTCTAAAGAATAAAGCCTACATTTCTTGATATTAAGTCTTTATGATTTGTTCCCTGCCCATGTGTCCATTTTTATCTCACATATCTTTCTCTGCATACACTTTCTATAGCAATGATATAGAAACTGTCATTTCACTGTTCCCTTTATATATTGTGCCCTTTGTTTTGCCATACATCTGCTCACCAAGCAATCTCTACTCCTCTTATCCATCTTGTCTTCCCCCAATCTCATTTATGTCTTGGCAAAGCTACCACCTCTTCTAGAAAGTCTTTTCTGAAAGTTCTCCTCTCTTCTCTTATTCTGTGCATCGCTTTCACTTAGCACACCATAAGTCCTCTATAGTGATCATCACAAAAATAATGAAGATACATAAAAAGAATTAAAATAATAGGTATGTGCCTACATTACCTGTGCCCCATTCCAGCCCTAAGGCCTTTGAAAACACAAACAATAAATTATTCATATTTGTAATCCTACATCTTAGCCCAGTACTGACAACTGATCCTCAATAAATGTTCTGTCAAATGAAGGTGACTAAGAAGAAAGAGAATGTACAAAAATAAATCACAGAAGAGGTAAAAGACTTCCTTGTCACATTCCTTCATGATGCTCCTGGTCCTGCTCACATTTGGGCAGATACATTGACTTCCTCAATCCTAGTGGGTTCTAGTTAAAAATAACTCCAAATAAGCAATTTACTCCCTACCAGCCCACAAAATTAATTCTACTGAGAAACTAACTGTCATGTTCTTGACATCAGATCTCTTATTTTCTCACCAAAAGTACAGGTTTAAAAAGAAATGCCATGTGTAATCTCCATCAGGTAAATGGAGAATAAGAAGGGAGAAAAAAAAAACGAGCAGAAAATACAATGAATTTGGCAGCACTATGCCATGTACTACCTGGAAAATTACTTACATGTAGCAGCAATACAGCAGCAAGAAAAGACTGTCCTTGACAGTAGCCAATGTCTTCATCATAGACAGAGTAGGCCTAGAGAAAAGATGAAAGGAAAGAAATATTATAAACATTCACAGATTTTAACCTAAGTGCTAGTTCACAGCACGCTGCTACTTATTCTTATCCCTGGCCTGTCCAGCACAATTTCACTGATCCCTCATCTTGAATGTGCAGCCATTAGCACAGTGGAGTCCTTCAAAGAGGCTGCACACTTCCTAAAGCAATGCTAGATGGCCCATTATCCCCAGGTTCATCTTTAGAATCTGGAATAAAAACATGCTCAGAGCACCTAAATTAATTTTTTAAGATCCATTATGGTTTGTGGTCAGGCACACAAGACTATGGGAGGCAAGAGCAAAAGGTAGAGGAGGGTAGAAGGGTTCTACAGTGGATGTGGGAATTCTAATGCACCATATGGGGGAACCCTGTAGCACAGATACCATAACCTAATAGACTCCCCCCCTCAAATCACCCTCTCTGGCCTCTACATGTTCTCAGACTTTGAGGGACACTTACATATCTGTTGTATACTGTTTTTCTTTTCTTATATAACCCTTTATAATATAAAAACCATTTATGGCTCCAGGGTAGTAAAAGGTAGACAGTGTGGGCTAGAGCTATAGTTTACTGACCCCTGGTTTAAAACAACAACAAAAAAAAATAATTCAGGTGCTCTCCAATTTATTTTTAAAATACAAACAACCCCAACTGTGCTGTTTAAATCCTGGACATGTACCCCATTCCATGTATCCTATCTATCTGTGGCGCTTCATTTTAGTGAAGGCATCTCCATTTAAGGTACTTAATATAATACAGTGCGCTGTGATTTTTTAAGTATAAAAATTCTCTCTGTCCAGGGCAATGGTTATCAAAGATAACGAGGAACAGTTATCATATCTTCCATATGCCAAGGTAATCAGGGTATAAGGACTAGAATTCTTTTTTTTTTAATTAAAAAATCTTTATGGAAATATAGCTTCTATTCAATGAAATGCATACCTTTTAATTTCACAGTTCCTTATGTTGAGTCATTCATGTAACTCTGACATTATAGAATATTTATATCATTCTAGAACGTCCTTCATGACTCTCCGAAGTCAAACCACCTCCACCCAGGCTACCAGTGAGCTGATTTTTTTCACAATTATTAGCTTTGCATTTTTAGAAGAATTTCATAAAAATGGATTAATATATACTCTTTTGTGTCTGACTTTTGTCACTCAGCATAATGTTTCTGAGATCCTTCAATGTTGTTGAATACATCAGTAAATCATCCACTTTTACTACTGAGGAGTATTCCAATGTATAAGTATACCACAATTGGTCTATCCACTCCCCCACTGGTGAACATATGGGTTTTTTCCCCCAGATGGGGGCTGGTACAAATAAAGCTGGTTTGTAAACACAAGGCTGCTTCTTGTGTACATAGATTTTCATTCAGTTCAGTTCAGTCGCTCAGTCGTGTCTGACTCTTTGCGACCCCATGAACCACAGCATGCCAGGCATACCTGTCCATCACCAACTCCCGGAGTACACCCAAGCCAATGTCCATTGAGTTGGTGATGCCATCCAACCATCTCATCCTCTGTCGTCCCCTTTTCCTCCTGCCCTCAATCTTTCCCAGCATCAGGGTCTTTTCCAGTGAGTCAGCCCTTCGCATCAGGTGGCCAAAGTATTGGAGTTTCAGCTTCAACATCAGTCCTTCCAATGAACACCCAGGACTGATCTCCTTTAGGATGGACTGGTTGGATTTCTTTGCGTCCAAGGGACTCTAAAGACTCTTCTCCAACACCACAGTTCAAAAGCATCAATTCTTCGGTGCTCAGCTTTCTTCACAGTCCAACTCTCACATCCATACATGACCACTGGACAAATCATAGCCTTGACTAGATGGAGCTTTGTTGACAAAGTAATGTCTGCTTTTGAATATTCTGTCTAGGTTGGTCATAGCTTTCCTTCCAAGGAGTAAACGTCTTTTAATTTCATGGCTGCAGTCACCATCTGCAGTGATTTTGGAGCCCCCCAAAATAAAGTCAGCCACTATTTCCACTGTTTCCCCACCTATTTGCCATGAAGTGATGGGACCAGATGCCATGATCTTAGTTTTCTGAATGTTAAGCTTTAAGCCAATTTTTTCACTCTCCTCTTTCACTTTCATCAAGAGTCCCTTTACTTCCTCTTCACTTTCTGCCATAAGGGTGGTGTCATCTGCATATCTGAGGTTATTGATATTTCTCCCGGCAATCCTGATTCCAGCTTATGCTTCCTCCAGCCCAGCGTTTCTCATGATGTACTTTGCATATAAGTTAAATAAGCAGGGTGACAATATACAGCCGTGACGTACTCCTTTTCCTATTTGAAACCAGTCTGTTGTTCCATGTCCCTTGGGTAAGTACCTAGGAGTGGAGGTTCAAAGTTCAAATGCTAAGTGCATGTTTAACTTTGTAAGATATTGCCAGATTATTTTGCAAAGTGATTGCTCAGTTATTGCCTCCAAATCAGCAAAATATGAGTACTCATTGCTCACATTCTTGTCAATACTTGATATTGCCAGTCTTTTTCCTTTTATTAATTCCTGTGCTTTTGACTTAAATTTCTCTGATGGCTAATGACATAGAATGTCTTATACTGTTTTTAGGCAACTAATACACCTTCTTTTGAGGTTATCTCTTTGAGTTTTGTTCATTTGTTTAATTCAGTTGCTCGTCTTATCACTGTCGATTCATGAAAATTCTTTATACATTGTTGACAGAATCATTATCTGACATATATATTACCGATATTTTCTCCCAGTGCCTTTTGAAGAACTGTTGCTATCTTTTAACCTTCTGCCAATGATGACATTATCACACCCTCATTTAATGAGAGAAAAATTAGATCACGGAACTATTTCCTAATGAATTTTAAGGAAGCTTTTCTTCATTATAACCAGTTTCCCAAGATCAGCCTAATTATAAAAACTGAAAGATGGACTACCATCCTTTTATTTATTTAATTTTCTTCGATTTATATAGTTTTATTTATGAGTGCTTATTTGTACTTTTATCCAGAGCTCATGGATTGGGGGGTGTGTGTGTGTGTGCGCGCGTGCGCACACAAAGATTACAGAGAGAAAAGAAAAGGAACAATTAACAAAGAAAGAGGGGAGAGGTTCTAGTACTATCCTTATTTAGCACATCCCTGATGGTTCTCCATTACTTCTTTTTCCACGAACAAGGAACTCTGAGATTTCTTGATAAGACATCATGTCACATATTAGCATCGAGGCTTCCCTTTCTCATAAAAGATAGTCTAAGCTGAGGATTCTTTAAAACTGGGGATCTCTAAAGGCAATCATGCTTCATCAGTCCTGACATAATTTTGACAAATGTTTGATCCATCTTTATATATTTAATAGTTACTTAGAAGTGTGCTATGTACATGTGCAATTTGCTATACATGCACATTTGTTTTACAAGAGAAGTCCAACACAAAATAAAGGTCCACAGTCCACCAGAGGAGTCCACCAGAATTCAGTGACCCCACAAACTATTCTCTAACTGAAGAGCTGAGGATAAAAGTACATGTCAGCAGTATATCGATCTTACTTTCTAATTATGTTATTGCTTTGGATTAGGTTAGCAACAAAAACGACTTTTCAGAGGCCACCTAATAAATCGATTTTATGATTCATAGTTTGAAAAACACAATGTTCTAGTATGTTCTTTCCCTTGGAGTTCTTCCAAGCATTCTTTGGGTTTAGTGTAAGCCTCCTCTAACTGAACTGAACCAAATCCTATCCCTCCATTTGAAACTTGCCTCTCTTTTGCACCACACGTTCTTGTCCCACTCCTCACTGTAATTGCTTCCCTGGCCAGATGCCTGCTCAAACTGACTTTCAGAAACCAACTGAATAGCACTACTATAACAGAGGAGGAATTGGACCAACCTTCCCTCTGGTAATAACTTTAATCTACATACAGACAAAATATATAAAACAACTATCTGAAAGCACTGAGCAAAAAGCAGGAGGAAGAAACTGGAGGGGAGAATAAACTTGGAAGACAGTAATAACACTGAATAAAATTCTCAGTTTTTATGGCTTTTTCTGGAGGCCATGTGACAATGGTGCCACAATGGAAGGATAAAACTTGGATATTAAACTATAGATTTACTGGCTTGAAGAATCAGAGAACAGACTGGGATGACTCTAACATCTAGAAAGCAAGAGTAGAAATGCTAGGGAAAAAGTAACAGAAGAGAAGCCTTTACTACACCTAGTATAAAAGTACAATATCCAAGACAATGTAAAACTGATACAAGTATAGACAAATAAATAAAACCGAGTAAGAAGTCTAGAAGTAGAGCCACCCTCATATAGTCATTTAATTGCAACAAGGTTACCAAGATAACAGTGAGGGAAGGAGAAATTTTTACATACATAAAAATGTAAATCTATAGAAATTGTTTCAACAAATGTGCTCAAACAATTGGAACCCATATGGGGGAAATTAATGAACCTTTATCCCTAACTTTACTTCATATGAAAAAATTAATTCTAGATATACCATACTCCTAAATATAAAAGTAAAATTATAAAGCTACTCAGGGAAAAGACAGAACATCTTTGTAACTTGGTAAAGGCAAAGGTTTCTTAGCCAGGGCACAGAAGTATTAACTATTAAAAAAAATAAATGAATACAACAGACATTAGCAAAATTTAGAAACTGAAAAGCGGAGACATGAGTCTGCTGACAAAGGTCCATACAATCAAGGTTGTGGTCTTCCCAGTGGTCACATATGGTTGTGAGAGCTGGACCAAAAAGAAGCAGAATGCTAAAGAATTGATGCCTTTGAACTGTGGTGCTAGAGAAAACTCCTGAAAATCTCTTGGACAGCAAGGAGATAAACCAGTCAATCTTAAAGGAGATCAACTGGATGGACTGAAGCTAAAGTTTCAGTATTTTGGTTGTCTGATGAGAACAGATGACTCACTGGAAAAGTCCCTGATGCTGGGAAACATGAAAGGCAGAAGGAGAAAAGGGTGTCAGAGG